GAAGATCCGAAGCCCGGGCGCCACGACAGGTCCAGCTTCCCCCGCCGCCGCCGCCACCTCAGCTTACCTTGCCAGCGCCGGCCGCCATAGTGACTCTGACTGAAACCTACCGGGTGCACCGCCACGGGAACGCGCACCCTTCAAGGGCCCTCCTACCCCTCTCCCGCGCCGTAGTCGGGGGACGTCACGTGGTCGACGCCGTGGACGCCATGATGGTCAGGGGCAGGAGAGAGGGCAAGCTAATTTTTAACTAACCTTGGGACACCATCTTAGTTAAGGGCCGGAAGCGTCAAGTCAGAAGACAAACCCCTACGACCATGTTGGTTAAGGGCAAGAAAGAATTTGGCCCATGGAAGGTTTTATAAACAAAACGTGCCAACTTCCTACTTTACCATCTTGGTTGGAAGGAACCAACTGTCACTAATTTTATTCACTATAGTTCTCGTCGAAAATTCTACAAGCAAAGAGAGCAGACCCAGCCAGAGGAGAGGTTATTAATAGCCATCTTCTCAGTGGGCTGTACAGTTTCCCTACAGCTGCCTTGGGTGTAAGCATCCAAATTCCCGCAGGTCCCAGAATCCGTGCGTGTCCGGATGACGGGGTCCATTCTCTCCCTGCTAAAGCCTTGGCTGTGTGTGGTGCCTGGGGAAAAGCTCTTTCTTAGCCTCGCATTTCCTTTCGAAAGGTTGGTCTTCTCAGTGGACCTAGCATGTCCCCCAGGGCTCCCATGCAGATTCTACCCCAGAAAGTGTGACTTAAGCAAGTCTAAAAACATGTTGCTTCTAGAGAGAGGTTGAATAATTTCCAATATGAAAAAAGGAAGCCAGCCGGTATTACTGGAGCATGAGGTGTGGTGGTCAAGGACAGGTGCTCAGAAGTGTGGTTTCAGTTGCTGAAGGATTTGGAGTTAACCCAATGAATTTCAGAACTTTTCCATCTTTCTCCTAGAAGGTCAAAGTAGAGTAGTGAAAATCAAGGTTTCAGAATCCAATATTGCATCACCATTTACCAGCGCTATAAATGGTAAGTTTATAGAACGCCTCACAGAGTCTTGTTAGGGTTATATAAGATCATGCAAGACAAAATGCCGACCATGATGTCTTAAAAATAGTAGATATTCAGAGAATGTTAGTTTTTATCATTATTACTAATAATAAGAATTTTCCCAGCCTTCCAGATATAGTAAGGAGCAAATTGTATTATCCCTAATTTTTATATATAGAAACTTGTTAATAAATGTGGAAACAAAAGTGTCTCTTTATGTTCAGTTCTACAATACCTCTTAAAATTAATGTTAAACAAACAGAATAGGCATTTTTTCTGTAAGAAAATTTGGGATTGCTATAACCTCGAAGGGTAAAGAATCCCACCAAGCTATGCAGGGTGCTGCAAATGCTAAAATGACACTGAAGACTTTCTTCACCAACTGGTACTTGGCAAGCACAGAAAAGGCTTAAATTAAGAAATCTCATACATGAGATGTTTAGAATTCTAAGCCACGTGTGTGTTCCTCTCTATGATTCTGTACCCATACAATATTTTAATCAAATAGAAAATGTATCATGTTTTGAGAAATTTGGAATGGTAGTATTTCCCAATGTTTTAGCTTTATCTCCCTTTTTTATTTTTTACCTTTTTAATAGTCAAATAACTATTACTACTGCTATAAACCATGCTACTTTGCAATGTTAGAAAAACAAACAGAGAATTGTAAAATTATTACCCTGATACCACAATAGACAGGCAATTATTAGCATTTCAGATGTGTAGGAGACAAATCTTTAAACTCATTTAAAATGCAACCCCTCCCTAAGTGATAATGATCTAATTGGATTTTAACCAATGACATTTGAGGTCATGAATTATGGGACACTTGCGTAACTGCTTAAGCAGAGTATCTGGATTGCAAATATAGGTAAGCAAACTAATTGAAGAGGAGTCCTCGAATAGTCAAAGATGAAAATTGAGAGTATATAATATTTTTCATGGCACACACTGGCCTATTAAAACTAAGTATGATCCCTTTCCCAATAGGGAAGGCTCTCCTCATCAGGGAGATTCTAATGAGTGGAAATACCCTGTCATTTCCCAGGTGCCCAGGGTGGAGTGGCCCAAACATTCCAGAGTTACTGCTCATCTGTTTTTGGCTTCCTGGTTCTACAGGAAATAAAAGAAAAATAATTACCTGAGGACAAGTAAAGACATTTATTTTTCAATTAGCAATCTTTTCCGGTGAACATAAAAAGAGGGTATCAGAATTTTAACTCTCAAAAGGATCACAGGAAACTAATCTAACCCCCTCAATTTGCAGGCAAAGAACCTGAGGCTCAGAGAAGGAACTTTTATTGGATGTGTATTTGCAGTGTTCTAAGGCATTTTTCTCATGACATGCTTGAATGGTATTAATCTCATTTTATAAGTAGGAAAACTGAGACCCAAAGAGACTAAGTGACTAATCCTAAATCACCATGCTAGATCTGAAGTACATGCTGGTGTTTGGGGGGGGGGAGGGGTTCCTTAAAAAATAAAAAGGAAAAAAAATCTTTACTGATTTTGAGTGGGAATTAATAAAACTAATACATATTCATTGCATATATTCAAATAAGCAAAGTTTGGAAAGTAAAAGTCCTTTCTTGCCTCATCACAAATCCTCAGTCTAGAGATAACTACAGTTATCAATTTATGAGCTATATCCTTCCAGATGTTTTTCTAAGCCACATGAGGAATGCCCTTTTTTAAAAATGCCACATTATTTATTAGAAATGAAAAAATGAACAGTAGCATCCTTATTCCTAAAAGTGATAAATATTTTATATCAATAGCAAAAATCTAGTATGGGGGAGGGAAAAGGGAAAAAGAAAGGAAGAAATTATGTTTATTTTTGTCACTTGTATTAAGTTCCCTTTTACTGAAAGTGTTCTCTTGCTTTTAATAATAAATTTAAGAATGTTCTTGGAATCCAGCAAA